CAACCACTTAAGCCCATTGCTGCAGTCACTGTGTCAGTCATCTTGTTGAGGCTCTTCATATCTTTCACTCTACCTTTCCAAGCCTTGTATCTCTTGCCATGGCCCTTCCTAGCCACATGCCGCAAATATGTGAAATGAAGTCTTGCCATCTTTGCCTCTAAAAAGCATTCTGGGAGATCCAAGATGGTGGCAGAGGCAGAGACAGCATGATGAGCTGCGGGAGCAGTGAACCACTTAAAGCAGGGCCATTATGGCCTTCCACAGACTTCGGCTTATTGATAATTGAACACTTAAACAGTTGATGACTGGACCTAAGTGAAGATTGAGGCTCAACAACAGGAATTCAAGGAGTGAGTCTCATAGCTCCCAACTCCCTCCCTCCCAAAGAGCCCGTGCCTTGCCGCACAGCCGCTGTAGCTCCATGAGGCTTCCACAGCCTGAACGAATGGATTCCCTCACCCAGAATGGATGCTGGGCACCGGCCCTCCTCAAGACTGGTACAGTGAAGCCACCACACTGCCACAAGGTGGACTTGGTCTGGAGAGAATTCTTGGAGCCAGGATGGTGGCTGTGGGGAAAGCAGGTGCCCACCGGCCGCCCGCACAAGAGGGGTTGCGCACCCGCCAAGCGCCCGTGTGGTGGGCTGGGGAGGCACGCCCTCAACGGCCGCCCGCACTGGGGGGGGGCGCCTGTGCTGGGGAGGGGGGGCACGCACCCCGCTGGCCACTTGCGTAGGAGGTGGGGGGATGGGATGCATGCCTGCCATCTGCAGGTTTTGGGTTTCCTTGGACAGGCCAAAGAAGACAATTACCTATGCATTGGAAAGGCAAAAGAGGACGATTACCTATGCATTGGACAGGCCAAAGAGGACAATTACCTATCAATGGATTGTTGAAAGTCACTGTGAGTCTGATGACCTTAACAGTGGCAGCATGCACAAGAGGACCAACATCGTAAATGCACCACATATTTTGTTCTGTTGAATGCTTCTGCCAAAAGATGGTTAGACCTGGGGGGGAGTCTATTCACAATTCTCAGGTTCCCTTTATCATATATAAAGGGGGAGGGCAGTGACACCTACTTCAAAATATAGTATGACCACTTATGGGGGGGGGGGTAAAAGTGGCAGTGCTGGAATTGGAAACACTATCCCTGACCACAGAGTCCTCAGTCAGGCGAGGGGACCAGACTGGGGTAGGGGCAATCGGAGGGGGAGTATACCAGCCAGCTCCTGGGGGGTGTTGCCCTGCTCGACATGGGCTGCCCTTGGCCCCCGGCTCGGGGAGAGCCATCGCGACCCTCAGGGTGAGCTCCTCAGTCTCCAGATTGTGCCGTCTGACCCCTGGGTGGGGAAGGAGAAGAAAAAAAAAAAAGAATGCCTAGGGTATCCAGAGAATGTTACCTAGGCCACCTTCTGCCACCCTCCCCCCAGTAAACCTGAAAGCAACACCCTCAAAGCCCTTCTATTTGTAACTCACAAATTTGTTCTCTCTAGGTTTGCTCCCTTTCCTATAGGTAACCTTAACTCTGAATTTTACTCCAGAATTGACCCTGAACCCAGTGCCAGTGACAAAAAGGAAATACAACTGACAACTAAGGAAGCAAAGGAGGATGGGGCCTCTGGGTTCAACCAGCCATCCCCACTGGACCCACCTGGGAAAACACTTTGCAGTCCAGAGGGGAGCAAATGACAGGAAAATATCTTCTAACAGAGCAAGAAGGCAAAGCAGCTGTAAGGTGATAAAGCGTCCTTCCTTCCCCCCTTTACATCTACACCCCTGTTCAGCATGAAGAAGCCAGAGAGTCGGCATCCAATTCCCAAATCAATAAGACAGTTGGTTTAATTACTATTGGAAAATGCTTGTCATTCCTCTGTAGCATCTGGTCCCCACTGGCCCCTCATCATTTCCTTCACCTGCTCTCCCCACTGACCAAACTGTGCAGCTCTGCAACTGCATCCCGGCCCATCCTCACCCTTCTGCCCCCAACCCTCACCTCCTTGTACCCCCAATATGTTTTTCCCAATAAAATAAAAATAAAAAGCATTCTGGGTGCTCTTTCTCCAAGACTTATGTTTGGTTTTTTGGAAGTCCATGGGATACGCAGTACTTTTCTCCAACACCACAATTCACAGGTATCAATTTTCTGTCATCCTTATCCATTGCCCAGCTTTCAGATGCATAGCAAGTGACTGAAAAGACCATGGCATGGATCAGGTGCCCACTCTATTTATATGACTCCACCCAAACATGTGTCAAAGCCAATGGCAAGGAAAGTAATTTTGAAAAATAAATCTTGACATTACAATCTCTAATCTGGGTTAGAAAGCCCTGTGCCACCTAACACATCCAGCTGCTAATTAAAATTTGGCTGTACTCATTTGCCAGTTAATCCTCAAGGGAAAGACAGGTAAGGTCTTCCTGTAAAGGTTTTATGTGTTAAAGGGTACTGATTTGGTTCAGACTCATAGGCACAACCATATGCACAACAAAAGAAACCTCTAACTTCTCCTGTGTTGTCCTCAACATCTGTGCTGTGCTCATGTCCAATGCTGCATTCACTACGTCAATTCGTGTCCTTTTCTCCTCCACTGACCTTCCCAAGCATGACTTTCCCCCAAAAAAGACTGGCCCCTTCTGATAACATGGTGAAAATACACGAGATAAAGCCTCACCATCTTTGCTTCTAAGAGTATTTTGGATGCATTTATTCAAAGACTGATTTATTTGTTCTTGTAGTAATATGTGGTATATTCACTAGTCTTTACCGATACAATTCAAAGGCATCAATTTTTAACTTTGCTTATTAATTGTCCAACTTTAATTTTCAGGTGCAGAATTTCAATGGAGGTTGCTATGAGTTGAAACTTACTTAGTAACAGTGCATGCAGTATGGTTTTCGGATATGGAGTACAAGGACCCTGATTAAGGCTCCAGCTGCTGGGGGGTGAATGGTTGGAGGTAAACTTACTAATGATTGTCCCCACAGAAAAATGAGGCTGTTTGTTCCTGTAAAGATTTGTTATTTGCCATAGAGTCAGATCCAACTCATTGCTGACTCTTTAGAGGATTTTTAGAGGCTTTAAATTGCATGGAAGTAGACTCCTCATCTTTCTCCCAAGAAGTAGCTGGTTAATTTGAACTGTGTGCCTTTGGGCTGGCAGTGCAACTCCTTAACCACTAGGCTACCAGAGCTTCCTTCAGTAAACACTGACAGGGAATTTCTTGGAGAAGTTCTACTGGTATGAGTTGGAATTTGACTCAGATAGTAATGCGATTTGGTTTTGAACTTGAGTATATTTCTGTAGTAGTTATTGTGGTTCAAGAGCCAGTCTCACAGACAGGATCTCACCTAAGATTTTGGTTTTATTTCCCAGTATGATAGGCTGTAGTCTGTCTACTTGAAAGAGTCTTACGCTGGGAGAAGGCAAAGTTATTATTGTTCACTGATGTAGTCTTAGAATGTAGAGCAATAACGAAGAAGTTGTGGTGGTGTACTTACTATGTAATGTGGTGCTAACCAAAAGGTTGGCAGTTCAGATGCACTGAGTGTGGCTACGGGTCAGAATTGAGCTGATTCGTGACAGTAGGTTTGGTTTTAGATTGAGTAGTGCCTATCCTGTATGTTGAATAAGCGTTAATTCTGCTTCAAGGTGAAATGAAGGTGGGCACTTAGGTTAGATGATCTTTAACCTTCCTTTCACTGATATGACTTTTATTTTGTTTCTAAACACTCTCAAAAAAAAATGAGGTATTTAGAAAAACATCAGTTGGTGGAGATAGCAAATTTCCGGTGTGATCATACAAACCAAAAATAGGGTTTTTTTTTTTCTTTTTTACGACAGTAAAATTTAAAGTGATTTTCTTAAAAAAAATGGTCTCAAAAGGTGGCACAAATAATTATGTCACTCTTCACTGTTACTAAAACGTGCTCACTGGTTTATGGGTATTAAATATGTATTGTTTAAATGACTGTTATCATTTAAATTTATTTTTTAAACTAGAAGTAGGAAGGTCTTTTCGAAAAAGAAGGTGCAGGGATCAGAAATGCCTTAAAAGGTCAGGACCAGTAACAAGGCTGTGAGCCTCGCTGAGCTCAAGCGTAGTACTGCCAGGCAGCCTGAAACACTGAGAGAAGGAATGAAGGACTCGAAATAAGAATTTGAGGAAAACAAAAACCTCAAACAACAACAACAAAACTCAGCAGAAAAGGAAAGACATTTAGCAGAACGTTTGGGTGTTGGCAGGAAGCCACTCAATTGACCGCAGCCCAACCCTTGGCACTAGCCAGTCATCTCCGGCTGGGATGTGGGGGGAACTACCTCCCAAGACTTTAGCTGCACACCCTCACTTTTAAAAGGTTCTGTTCAGCTGTAAGACTGACATGGTTTCGGGTGCCTAGAAAGAAAAAAATAAAAAAGCGGAGAACCTGTCCCCTATTCGATTCAAATAACGTAGGCCAATAGGAAAATCTTCCGCACTGAGCAAACGACTCGGCAGGTCTGCCCCCGCGGTGCTGCGCAGTCCGACTGCTGGCCTTCATGCCTGCAGCTGGGCAGGGCAACCTTCCTGCCATCCTTCTGCCCTCCCAGGTTGGTCCAGGGCCCCGCGGCCCGAGCCACACCCGCTTCCCTCCGGTGGCCCGGCCGCCCCCGCCGCAGTTCTTCCGAGCGCTCTTCCTGGGACGGGCACAAGCTCAACGCGCATGCGCAAGGCCTGAAGGGCGCCTCCCTGCCGGATCTCGCGAAGTTACGTTACACTGGCCGCCGCCGGTGACGGGTTGCCCGGCCGGGGGCGGGAGGGCTTCTGTGGTAAGAAGGGAGGTCCGCTCGCTCGGGCGCGCCGCCCCAGTGCTCTGTGGGATACTGGAAGTCTCGAGCGTCTCCTCCGGGTTCCCAGCCCTGCTCTGGCCCGCGCTCATAGAAACAGTCACACACCCCCTGCCTCCCCTCTTTTCCCTCTCCGCCTCACCCTTCCCCCCCTCGCGATAAGAAGACCCGGCGGCAGGAGAGGGGATGAAGATGGCGGACGCGAAGCAGAAGCGGAACGAGCAGCTGAAGCGCTGGATCGGCTCCGAGACAGACCTCGAGCCGCCGGTGGTGAAGCGCCAGAAGACCAAGGTGAAGTTCGACGATGGCGCCGTCTTCCTGGCTGCTTGCTCCAGCGGCGACACGGACGAAGTCCTCAAGCTGCTGCACCGCGGCGCCGACATCAATTACGCCAATGTGGACGGGCTCACGGCTTTGCACCAGGTCTGTACACCCGGGCGCGCGCTCCGCCGAGGCAGCGGGGCTCCTCAGGCCTCCTGCCAGGGCCTCCCCGCCGCTCCCGGCCTGGAGGCTGGAGGGCTTCTGGAGGCTCCCTGCTGCGGGGTGAGGGGGCGGCTTCCCGCGACGGAGGGAGGGAGGGAACCGGCCCTGGGAGGGTCCTGCGCTGAGGCCCCCTTCTGACCACTTGTGACCAGTTGTGAACTGGTGGTGTTCCGGGGCCAAGACTGGCTTTGGGGCCCTGCTGCCATTTGTGGACGTGTGTCTAGGATCTGGGGTCGAGACGGGGCGTAGTAGTGTAATGAGGTGGTGCTTGGGCCCCGCTGTCAGAGATTTATTTGGGGGAGGGAAGTGCCGAAGGAAACAACTTACAACCACGCATTTAAGGACACTTGGGTAGATGGACCTCTTTGGCTCATAGGTGGACATTGGATTTGCCGTACTTTTAGGACTTGATTGCAAATAATGATAATAGTAATCAGGAGCCTTAAGCTGAGAACCCTGAGCGAACGATTTCCTGTTTTCTCTTTTATTGCATTTGCTCACTGGGGAGGGGGAAAAGAGAGTGTAATTGTGTGATTCGCCCCTCCTGAAAAGGAGGGGATGGAAGTGACCGGTCAGAAGTACTCGTCGACCCACCTCTGGCCCCTGTACATTTGTCTGAAGTCTGGGACTCGGTGAAGTTTGCCGCATTGTCCAAGAACCTTCACTCTCAGCTCCTGGGCAAATGCACTGGGGTCAGAAGTGGAAAATAAATACAGGACATTCTTTTAAAAGCCCGTTTTGAGGGTGGGAAGAAACGGAAAACTGGTCACAAAGTTTTCTCAAAATGGATGCTTTGGACATGTTAAAGTTTTATAGTAGTCTGATCGGGATCTCTCAATGTTAGCCAAATAAGGAGAAACTATTGGCAATCCAGAGATAATGTTGCTTTGCCTTTAACAGGCCAAAAGCAACACAACCACGTAGGGTTCTGCAAGAAAAGCAATCCCCCCCCTCCCCTTGAAGTGGTGTTAGTAGGTAACAAGACATTTCCATTTTCCTAGTTGGCAACAATTACTGGGAAACGACCTTAAAACAGTAACTTCCTCGACAATGAAAAGATTTTGTGAACTTTTTGAGAATTGGTTGTATATGGAAGATAGTACTGTAGCAAAAAAACTTGTTTGAGAGGTTGAAACATAAAAATTTTTTTATTTCAACGATATTAGCATGTTGTCTTTCTGAAAGAGGTGTGTGGTAGCATTTTTTTCTTTTGCTCCTTCCTTTTGAAGTGAGTGATGACCATTTTACGTTTTACTTAATTGAATTCTTTATCACAGTTGGCTTATAGCCTTTGTTTACAGAGTTGACTGGATGAATTGAAATGACTGACAAATTGCTGGATAAATAGGGAATTCAGAATGTGGTACACAGAAAGGGTGTAGCTCTAACTTTTTCTCAGTTACACTAATTTTGATTCTTTAAAGTCAAGGAAACCTTAATTGGTTTATTTTAAGGCAAAGCATACTTGAGATTCTAAACCATCACTTTGAAAATGAAAAAAAAAATTGACATTCAGAATGGCATTGTAGTTACGATATTGTAAGATGAATCTTCAAATTTTTTTCAGGTATAATTTTTAAAATACAACTTTGACTGTATCCAGAGGTCAGGATAATTGTATAATTTCTTACATCAGTATGTCTTATTAAAATTGCTAAGTAAAAATTTAAATTTATCACTGTTGTAAAGAACCCAGTTGTATTGGATTGAAGGAAGATAAAACCAGTGCATTAATGTGATACTGGGTGCGTATGGGGGAAAAAAAGTACACTTAACAAGCTTTTCAAGGTTTCTCTCTTCCCTTCTTTACATCTGTACAATGTTGCAAGACTTCTATTTCTTATCATGCAAGAGTTAACCAATTTCTTTCTCAGTAATTACTTCAGTGTTTAGTTAGACATTATACAAGCTGAGTCTTTACTCAGTATTTTGTTTTAGATGACAAGTATTTAAGTTTCTAAATTTATTAATAAATAATTTGTATAGTATTGTCATTATTTGTAAGTTTTCTATCTGCATGTTCTTTAGATCAGTGAAACGAGAGTCTTTAAAATATCAAGCATTAAAAGTTTTCTTCACTTGGTATTTCTCATTTATCAAATCTTCTTGTACTCCAACCCTCCCCCCATGTGTCTGTAAGAGCAAGGAGTTTAAACTTTGAGAAAATTCAAGGACTACAGATAATAAAAGGTGATAAAAGCGTTTGGGTTTTTTTTTTTTTTAAAAAAAAAGAACAAAAAAATTAAAGCTGTTAAATGATGTTCTGATTCCTACTTGCTTTAAACCTTGAATTGTAAAACCTGAAATGGTCCAATCATAGGGTTTTTTTGGTTGGTTTTTTTAAATTTAACTTCTCAGAAGAGCTCAGATACCTATGCTGTTTTGACCAGATTATTAGCCTTTTGAGGTATTAATTTACTTCATCAAGTGTCTTAAATTTCATTTTCAGAAGAAAAATTTTAGATACTTCACAACATACAAATACACTTCTTAATCATTTTGCTTACATTTTCAATATAAGCATTTAAAGATTTCTTTATAGTTTAGCTTGTACTTTCATTAGAAACTATTTCTTCAGCTGTTCTTTTTGTATGCTATCCATTTAGAGAGCCAGGTTTCTTGTCACTTTCCTTATCTTGCTCTCAAGAATGGCCTTTTCCCCTCAGTAGTGTACAGTACTGTAATTTCCAAAATCTGGAACTGAAGTCTGGAGTAGATTTTTATTTATCAGTGGGCAGTAATCAACTTTTGATTTTATAGCTACCTAGGAGAGTTTTGGTATGCATGATCTTTAGGAGGCTGATTGGACTCTGCAGTACTAGGTACAATTTGAGTAATAAGGTTGTCGATATAAAGCTGTATTGCAGTTTTTTAATAACAATATTCATGAAAGCAAATCTGAGATTTTTTTCCCTAACAGCTTTCAAATCTATAGGTTATTCTAGACTTTTGGTTTTGCCTTAAAATCTTATTTGCTTTCTCTATCAGTTAATTTTAAATCACTTTTTCAGCTCTTACTTACCTCTCAAGAGCTCTAGTTACTCATTTCCAGTTACTCATTTTCTCTTGATACGAAGTACAGTCATGCATTGCTTAACGTCTGTGATATGGTCTGTGAAATAGGACGTTATGTCATTTGGAGAATGTATGAAACACCATATTGTAGCCTGATCTTTTTCCTTTCAACATGTTGGACAAGCATTCTACCTTAGCAGTGGTCCTCAGTGAGCTGAGAGGAATTCACTTTTATGTCTTGTCCTCCATCCATATCATTAGCATTTCTCCCCCATATCTGATATACATCTCTCTTACATTTTTATTAGCCCTGTAGCTTTCTGTAGAGCCAGTTGTTTACAAATTGGAAAATCTTTTCTTTATTTTTTGAGGATTTTTGTGATTATCAAGTGTGGCATGTCTAAATCGCAAGCATTACTGTTCAATGACTTTCTACTTCTGTGGTGTTTAATATTATTTCATTTCAGGATGTGTATTTCTTTTGCCTCTTGATACTGCAATCACTAGCTCTAGGTTTGCTGTGTTTAGGAGCCATAAATGCATTTTTTTGGTAATATTTTTGAAAGAATTTTAAGCAGAAAATAACTAACATTTTAAGAGACAGTATGTCTGGCAGCGAAGTCACTTTGTGTACAGGAGGCTTTAGATAGATGTGTTGGTGCAGTAAGCTATTCAGTTAGTACATCCTGCTGTCCAGTTTAAATGTCTGTACTTTATTGGACCATGACTGTGGACTTCTGTATGGTCAAATGGTGACTAAAAACATGACAGTGCATAACTGTATTGATTTAATAGTAAATATATTGTAATTTTAATCTTAATAATGAAACATTTACTTTCAGGTTGATCATGACTTAAGGCATTGTCATAGGTGTCGTAGTACAATTCTACCCGATAATGCTCAGTGGCTGAATATTTTTGGATGTAGCTCATCAAGCCTTTTGTCCAAGGCAACTGTGAGTGTATTCCAGCTCTTAACCTTTTGCACTACACAGTGACTTATCTTGAAGTTCTTTTTAGTTGTTAGATGCCATTGAGTCAATTATAATCCATAGTGACACTATTAACAACAGATCTGAACCCTGTTCTATCCTGTGCCATACTCCGAATCTCTGACACACTAGAGCCATTTCCAGCAGTCCCTGTGTCAGTCCACCTGGTGGAGGGTCTTGCTATCTCACCCACCCCTTGCCTTTCTCTCTCCAAGGAATAGCCTCCTCTAGCAGCAGGCCCAAAGTATGTGAGACCTGTGGTTCCCCACCCCTCACCCCCAAACCATGCTTATTGTGTCAGTACTGATTTTCATAGTTTTAAATAATTTATATAATCTGTCTACTTTTAATTGAGCTTTGGTAGTCATGTAGTAAAGACATGCTCTGCTACCCCAAGGGCATGTGGTTCAAATCCATTACCTGCTCTGGGGGAAAGATGGACAATCATCTCCCATGGAATTTATTGCTCTGAAAACCTGCTAGAGGGTCAGCTGTGGTTGCTTCTGACTTGATGGTATATAGCAACAATGTAACAATCTACTTTTGTCTTTTTTAAAGTTACTTTGTTGTTATTAGGTGCTGCTAGTAGGACTCAAGCAACCCTTGGAACAACAGATCTGAACCCTGCCCTATCCAGTGCCATCCTCACAGTCTCTGACACACTAGATCTCATTGCTGCAGTCACTGGTGCCAGTCCCTCAGGTTGTGGGTCTTAGTTTTCTTTGCTGTCCCTCCACATGATGTCTCTCTTCAAGAAATAGCCTCTCCTAACAACATTCCCAAAGTATTTGAAAGGAAGCTTTATCATCTTTTCCTCTTAGAAGCACTCTGCCTACTCCTTCTCCAGGATATACCTGTTTGCTCTTTTAGCAGTCCATGAGATATTTAGTACTCTTCTCAAACACCACAGTTCAAAGGCATCAGTTGTTCTGT